TGTGTTTTTAGTTGTTTCTTGAAGATGGTTAAGGACTCAGCTGCTGGGATTGAGTTGGGCAGGTTATTCCACCAGGAGGGAACAGTTAATGAGAAAGTCTGTGAAAGTGATTTTGTGCCTTTTTGAGATGGCACAATAATATGCCGTTCACTTGCAGAACGCAAGCTTCTAGAGGGCACATAACTCTGAAGTAATGAATTTAGGTAAAAGGGTGCAGAGACAGTGGTGGTTTTGTAGGCAAACATTAATGCCTTGAATTTAATGCGAGCAGCTACTGGTAGCCAGTGCAAATTGATGAACAGAGGTGTGACATGCGTTCTTTTCGGCTCATTAAAGATTAATCTTGCAGCGGCATTTTGGATTATTATTATTATTTATGAATAGAACGTTCAAAATAACAACATTTTTTTAAAAAGAAAAAATCTATTTAATGCATCCTTGCTGAAAACAAGTATGGATTTCTGTAAAGATTTAAGTTTCAGCCCAAAGTTTTGAATGGTAGTGTGTGTATATAGGCCTATAGGTTTTCCCATCAAGCTGTCCTCTTTTCCATAGTGTTTCTGAGAGCTTTATAAGTACATCTTGGCAGTGTGCAGGTCTGTGTCTGATCTTCTGTACTGATGTTGTCTTTCAGGGCACGTTTCTCGTGACTCAGGCCGTCTCGAAGGCTTTAGTTTCTGCAGGCGCTGTGAAGGGCTCTATCATCACTGTGGGCAGCATAGTGGGCAAGGTCACGCATTTAGAGCAATATCATGCTCTATTACATGGATTCATTTTCTCACTGTTTTATTATAGTGGACATTTAACATTTTTACACCACAGGTGGTTAATAAAGTCATAGACATTTTCAGAGCTTGAGTTGCATATTGTGTCTTAAGTGTCGGTTTCTTTGTCTGTAGGTTGGGAATATCGGGCAGGTGAATTACTCTGCTTCTAAAGCCGGAGTGGAGGGCCTCACTCGAACCGCTGCCAAAGAGCTGAGCAAGTGTGTGAGCATGAAAACGTCACACAGTAACATTTACACACCTGCATTGTATCCATTTTATGTTTTGCTTTAGGGTTTGTGGTCTGCTTACGTCTATGTTATAAGCTGGTTGAGCTCTTTAACTGAAAACAGTTTTATAGAATGAGTTTCTCTTTATGTTCTATATTTTAATATGACAAACATGATTTTGTTCCTTGTAGATTTGGCATCCGCTGCAACTGTGTCCTGCCCGGGTTCATCACTACACCCATGACAGACAAAGTACCTGAGAAAGTCATCGATAAAGTAAGCAAGAATAGTTTTTTTTTTTAAAGTTTCTTAGATTTTAAATCAGCTTTGAACTTTAGTAAAGGATCTTAAAATGTAATATGATTTATGAATTATATGGTTGACACATTGTCAGACAACATACCACACTAAAGGCCCTTTTATTGTAACTGAGCACTTTTTTATTTTATTTTGTGCAGCTCACAGCAGTCATTCCAATGGGAAGGATGGGAGAGCCTGCTGGTAAATATCTTATCTTTATAGAAAAACTTTTGATTGATGAACATACTCCTATCACACAAAAGAGTGTTGTAATAATTGTTTTGGATTTGATAACATTAACATTGTCATGTACATTACCATGCCAATCCCTCCGAGTTGTCCTGACAGAAATATAAATATCTATTTCTCACCCTTGCTTGTCTGTGCAGAAGTAGCTGATGCATGTGCATTTCTGGCTTCTGATGACAGTCGATATATTACTGGAATCAGCATTGAAGTTGCTGGTAAGACGCTTGAACTCTTGCTGAACAGCAAGATGTGTAATTTCATTCTCAGTGTGTTTTGAACTGACATGGAGTTTTCTCTTTATCAATACAGGTGGACTCTTCATTGGCTGAAAACTGCTGAATGACACTAAACTGATCACCAACTCTGTGCCTTCATCTTTAATCTCAAATTATGCTTAATTGCTGTAGAATATTGTATACAATGTAACAAATGGAAATTAAAATTCTATATTTATACAATTAAAGTGTGAATATTTTATACTGTGAACCCACTTTTAAAAAACAATTAAGTTGACACAGGAGGAAATGTGTTGATGTGTGGTTTAATGGGAACGTTTGGACCAAAACAACAAGTCAAAGAATTAAAACAGTTAACATTTCAAAACTCAGACTAATAGAGTGAATCAAAATTCATCATTTAAAAGGGGTTTAAGAGTCGTTTGAAGGAAAGTGGCCAGATTACATATTGTGGTTTTTCTGAGACACACGAAATGTGTTGTTAATTTGTTGAAAAGTGAAAATGGGAGTTTGGCTCGGAAGAGTGAAGAGGCAGATGAAATATGAGCAAAAGCACCATGACAACAGGAAACAAACGGGGAAAAGAACAACAAAGGAGTCCAACAGCTCTTTAAATAGATTATATATTACACAAACAGATTCTGAAGTACTTACATAAAACACGTTTTAGCACCATATTTTATAAAGACAGATGTTTGTCTTTCACCGACAAAAACAATCCTCACAGTATTGTCCTTGTGAGAAAACCACACAAACAACTTTTAATTCACAAATAATTTTTATAGCTTTTCATTCCCCTCGCCATGTGTTAAAAAAGAAACAAAAAATATACATAAAAAACAAACCACCATCAGTTTCCTTCCCTCTCCTTCCTCTTCCTCTCCCTTCTCCACTGCTGTCTGAATCTCGAGACATTTCGGTCGTTTCGGTCTCCACCTGCACCAAACTCTCCTAAACCTCAAGCTGTGACGTAAACGCATTGAAATAATGCAGCGAGAGCTGATATCACCAAGTGTACACACACATATATATATATATATCATACAGAGAAGGCAGATTTGCTTTCTGGGGTTTAATTTACATATTTAATAGATGAAAAAACTACAGATGAATACCACATTATTTTGGACTGCAAGTGTTGGACATTTTCTTGTGAGCACCTGTTTGTTTCACAAAATAAATACAATAAAATATTTCTGTACAAATGGTTCGCATGCACAATTCCAGCCTGAACACTGTCCACATGAAAGGTCAAAGGTCACAAACCCATGGGTCAAAATAGCACAATGTTGAAAGTGTGTCCGAAAAAAAAAAAAAAGCTAATTTTTAACGGCCTCTGTAATGAAACAATAACCAGCTTATATACGTTCACCAAAAAATACTGGACTGGTAAATTGGCAGCATGTTCACGGCATGAACAAAAATATCGAAAATTCTTACAGATTTTATCGTTCTATAATAAATGTACAACAATATCAAATTCAATACAATTTCACACTGTAAATGGCTTTTGATTGCGTATGTTGATGACAGTTGCTGGTGTGATTTGAAATCGTTCTAATGGAACTTTCACGCTCGGCTTCCGTTCCTCAGTTTAAATGTTGCACCTGCAGATCATTCTATTTTGTTAATGGAAGGAAGCTTCGCACAGGACTATTTGGGAGCGATCAGGCATGGAGGTAGGAAGAGTGGGACGTCTCGGAAGAGGAACAGTGGGGAGGGGATCTGTAGGAGAGAGAGGAGGCCGAAACAGGAGGGTCTTTCGCTTTAGGCCAGCAGTATCTGCGCCATCACAGAACATCTTCTCTTCTCTTCTCTCCTGCGAGAATGGCTCTCTTCTCCTCTGTTGCTGGGAGTGTTTTTCCCTGGGCGTGTACTTTGTGTGCAACTTTGTTTCACAACAATGTGTGTGTGCATGTGTGTGTGAATCTATGTTTCCCGCTTCTTACACTTGATTTCAAATGTCTTTATTAGTGTTGGCACATCTCTATGTGGTGATATTTATGTCTAGGTTTGAAGTGCATGATTAATGAGTGTGTGTGTGTGTGTGTGTTCTCGTTTGTATCTGTGATTGTATTCCCCTTGCCCTCAGCATGTGTGTGCTTATCCCAGGAAACAGACAGGTCCCACTTCAAAACCAAATTTCTGATTGTCCTCCCCAAAGTCTGAGATCCTGATGTCCAGCAGAGGGAGCTGCTCCACCTGATTTTGGATGCAATTAATCGCGATTAATCGTTTGACAGCACTAGTATTTATATATGCATAATAAATATACACAGTACAAAAACATATATTATAGTCTGAGATCCTGATGTCCAGCAGAGGGAGCTGCTCCACCTGAGGTGTGTTCACCTCCAGCACTGTCCTGTCCAAGCCTTTACGATACTGCAGGGGGAAAAGGCCAAAAAATATTTAGGGACAGAATACCTTAAGATAATGGGGGGAAAAGATGTGTAAGGTTTTTTATAATAAACACTTTTTTAGTGCTGTCAAACGATTAATCGCGATTAATCGCATCCAAAATAAAAGTTTTTGTTTACATAATATATCTGTGTACTGTGTATATTTATGATGTATATATAAATTCTCACACATACAGTATATATTTAGAAAATATTTATATGTACATATTTATATTAAATATATTTAATATATAAACATAACTTGTTTTTCGTAAATATATCCATGCATGTGTGTGCATTTATTAGTGCTGTCAAATGATTAATCGCGTGACAGCACTAGTATTTATATATGCATAATAAATATACACAATACAAAAACATATATTATAAAAAAAAACTTTTATTTTGGATGCGATTAATTGTTTGACAGCACTAACTTTTTTAAATAATATTGCATTTTGGTTTCTAAAAACAAACCTAAAATAAATTGTGTAATCAAGACATGAGGTGCAGTTTACATAAAAAAACGTTAGTTGTTTAGCAAACTATTTTTGCACTTGATTTCATAAATCAGATCAAACTACAAAGTTTGTAAAGGTTTTTAACATTTTTATTTTATTTATCCTTATTTGTTATTATTTTTATTTTTTTTACTTTCTGAATAAATTTGGTGCTTGTATAATTCTTGCAACAGTAATCATATACACTACTATTCCATGTTTGGAGTAAGATTTTTTTAGAAGAAATTAATACTTTTATTCAAAAAGGATTCACTTCAACTTGATCAAAAGTGACAGTAAAGACTATAATGTTACAAAAAAAAATAATATTTCAAATAAATGCTGAAAACAAATGTTTCACTGTTTCCACAAAAATCTGAAGCAACACAACTGTTTTCAACATTAATAAAAATCAGAAATGTTTCTTGAGCAGCAAATCAGCATATTAGAATGATTTCTGAAAGATCATGTGACACTGAAGACTGGAGTAACGATGAAAACAAATGTTTCACTGTTTCCACAAAAATCTGAAGCAACACAACTGTTTTCAACATTAATAAAAATCAGAAATGTTTCTTGAGCAGCAAATCAGCATATTAGAATGATTTCTGAAAGATCATGTGACACTGAAGACTGGAGTAATGATGCTGAAAATTTTGCTTTGATCACAGAAATAAATTACATTTTACAATATATTAAAATAGAAAAGAGTTATTTTAAATTGTAACAATATTTCACAATATTACTGTTTTTACTGTATGAGCAGAAGAGCTTCTTAAAAAACATGAATGTTACCGACCACAAACGTTAAAAAAGTTACATTAAATAATTGTAATTTATTGCACATTTAATGAATCCAATGTAAAAACAATATTATGTTCATGACTTAAAATCCTTATTATAGTGAAATTATGATAGCTTGTATTTAGCATACAATCATACTGCAGTCTCTCGTCTGTTTGTTAGTTTTTAATCAGGATGAGGTAACTTACAGAGCAGCCGTCGACGAGGGCTTTGATGTAGGGGCTGGTCTCGTAGCTGAGCTCTTCATCGTTGGCACCCTGGAAGTGTAGCGCCCTCTGGTAGCCGCTGTCGGCAGTGAGGTCCGCCCAGGCCACTGATCGCTGGCAGTGGTAGGTCAGGTTTTGACGAGCCTGAACGCTGAGCAACCGCAGGAATCCCAGCTGGACAACACCCACGGGCTCTCCACTCCAGTCAACATATGAAAACTACAACATGAAGGACAACATTATATCATGATTCACAAAATAATGAATTTGACACTGTAATATTTCTTAGATTTGATCTAAAAAACATTCACACTGAATTAATTAAAAATGAATGATTTCTAGATGCACTGTCACTGCAAATCACTCTCAATGTGAATGCACTTTAAATCAATAGTTCACCCAAAAATTACAATTCTGTCATACTTTTCTCACCCTCAAGTTGTTCCAAACCTGTATGAGTTTCTTTCTTCTGTTGAACATAGAAGATATTTTGAAGAATGTGGGTAATCAGACACTTGCTGGTCCCCATTGACTTCCATAGTATGGAAGTCAATGGGGACAAGAAACTCTTTGGTTACACACATTCCTCAAAATATCTTCTTTTGTGTAAATGTTGACAGAATTTTGGGTGAAGTATCAATTCAATAAAGAGCTTCTGGTTCATTGATGCATATACTTCGCCAAATTAAACATATGAATTGAAGAGATGATTTTGAAGAGTTTTGAGGTGATAAACTCACCTTGCTGCCCTTTGCAAACTGACTAAACCAGGACCCAGGCTTCTCCTTTGGCCAAGTGTTCATCTTCACCTATGGCAGACCAGATTTCAGAAGTCTTAGTGATGTTGCAGTAAAACATAAACATATAAAAGTGAATGACAGTAAGTTCTTACATTTTCCACAGCTTTGCTGGGATACAAGCACGTCTCTCCACCGGCAGTGAAGTTACAGTAAACCTTGAACGAGTCCCGAGCGCAGCCTTGATTTGGATCAATCCAGTACTCGCCTGAATAAAACAATAAGAATGATTCGAATGGGAAATGGCTCTCCATTGGTCAAGGAATGCGTCAATCACATTGTAACCATGACGATCGTACCGTCTTTCAGATCTGGTTGGCTGAGGTGGAGGTCCTGGCAGGTGCGGGCCGGGCTTTCCTGTGTTCCCAGCGGGAAGCGCATGCTCTCGATCTCCTGGCGCAGGGAATTGAGCGATCCGAAGATCTCCTCCATTCCTTTGTTACCAGTCAGGAACTCTGCACCCGTGCCGTCGGCAGCCTCAGTGTCAGTCTCAGAGAGCATCTTACTGCCGTCGACGGAGCGCTTGGACTTCTTAGGGATCTGAATGGGCAGCGGCTGGATGACATCTCCAGGGGGTCCCTAAAGAAAAAGGAGAATATAGTTGCATTTCAAGGAACTCTGGGATGCACTGATCTCTAATTTGTCTTGAATGAAGTTCATCTCAACAAAACAATTTCACTGCCAAATGATGACTGTGCATTTTGTATGATAGATAACAGATATAGCTCACAGGTGGTCCTGGTGGTCCTTGTACACCCTTTTCTCCTTTAGGACCACCTCCGCCCTGTACCACAGAGAGAAGGCATACAGAATTAGTGTCATTTTAAGTGTAAAGTCTAAGACATATGTATAATACTTTATTTAAACACTACCTCACATTATATGGCTCATGATATACTTTTCACACAATTATAAATATTTAAGGAAGGAATACTCACAGTGGCACCTTTAGCTCCTTTGATACCCCTCGGACCCTGTGAGAAACATCACATCCATTCAGCTTTAATCCAAGACACCAGTGTTTTGAGATGATATATTTTGGTGCGTCAGTACTCAAGTTGAGTACTCATAGTTTCAAGATTATTTAAAAAGTTTAACAAAGGATTGAGCATGAAGAATCAGTGCCGTCATCAAGTACCTAAGACACATTCTCCACAAAATACGGTATGATAAACAGCTCTACTAAATGGCAGTGAAAGTTTACTCACAGGCATACCAGCAGGACCTGCAGGACCAAGAGGACCAGTTCCTCCAGACATACCCTAAAATAAAACACATTAAGAAATAAGGGGAAAAAACATGGCATTTGATGATATGAAACAGGATATGAACTGGGAAAGTTTTGCATGTACACTACTGCACAATGGACAGATTTTTAAGGTTTTTTGTTAGTCTCTTCTGCTCACCAAGACTGCATTTATTTGATAACAATACAGTAAAAACAGTACAATTGTTAAATATTCTTAGAATTTAAAATAACTGTTTTCTTTTGTAATATTTAAAAAAATGTAATTTATTTATGTGATGCAAAGCAGAATTTTCAGCATCATTACTCCAGTCTTCAGTGTCACATGATCCTTCAGAAATCATACTAATATGCTGATTTGCTGCTCATTTCTTATTATGATCAATGTTGAAAACAGTTGTGATGCTTTATATTTTTGTGGAAACTGTGATACGTTTTATTTCCCAGGATTCTTGAATGAACAGAATTGAATCATTTGCAACATTAAAAATGACTTTACTGTCACTTTTGATCAATTTAATGCATCCTTGATGAATCAAAGTCATTTCTTGTAATAAAAAATCTTACTGACCCCAAACCTTTAAACAGTAGTGTATATTTGTGGTCTGATTTTGATGTGCGGAGGACGTGACCAGACATCACATACCGTTTCTCCCTTGGGTCCTGAAGATCCCTGTGGTCCAGGCATGCCTCGGTCTCCCTTCTCTCCTTGTTCTCCTGGAGGCCCAATCAGACCAAGCATACCTGGATGTCCCTTCTCACCCTTAGCACCGGGGTCACCACGAAGACCTGCCAAACCTGGAGGACCCTGTATTCAATATACATACATATATCTCATGAAACTGTAATAATAGTTCACTTCTTAGTGTAAGTGTTTCAGGAATCAATACTTGTATATTGCATACACTTATAGTACAGTCTTTTTCCCTAACCTGCACCTCCATAAGGTGGGTGTTTGCTGTAATGCTCTAATACAGAGGATCTTACCATTGGACCAGGAGGTCCCTTCTGGCCAGCTGCACCTGGAGCACCTTGCTCACCCTAAATAATATTATCAGTTATCAGAAGATCATTTTGGTAAACACTATATTAGCTATTGGTAAATAAACAGATTAAAAACACAATTCCAATATCTTACCACTGTTCCAGGCAACCCTCTTAGACCCTCAGTTCCTGGTTTTCCTGGTTGACCCTGTGGCCCCACAGGGCCTGTCTTTCCTGGAGGGCCAAGGGCACCTGAATCCCCCTAAAAAACATGTTACATGAGGACAAAAAAACTACAGAAAGCCTGCTTATATGTTGCAGCTGTATTTCCTTTAATTTACATAGTCCTACCTTGCTTCCCTTTTCTCCCTGACGACCCTCCGGTCCCCTTGTGCCTGGAGGACCCTGAAATATGAACATTAAATATGTCCAGAAATATGCATTTTTCTATTCGATCATGCATACTTTTTTTTTTTTGTAAACCAAATATGTAAATACAACTTACCCTCTGTTACAGTGAAATACACCATCAATGATCCGTTATACAACAATACAGAGCTTACAAATGAACATATGATGGTGGTAATGTTGGGCTGTTGTAAAATAAGTTAATCTTACTCTCTTTCCTGGAGGTCCAGGTGGTCCGTTCTCACCGGTTGGTCCAGGTGAACCCTAAAGCAATGCAAAAATAGTGCTCAGTGTATCCTGAGAAACACCTTATAAGTATGCATAAGGAAGACGTGCTCTATAGCAGGATGATCACTCACAGCTTCTCCTTGTTCTCCATCCTCTCCTCTTTCACCCTTTGCTCCATCTTGGCCCTGCAAAGAAGATCAGAAAGAAAGTCAAACATTTTTTCTTGCACTGATGAATCATATACAATAAGACCAGGAACATGTATGAAGAATGGGTCAAATTCAATTTCATGTTGACTTTACACAAATCATGTTTAATTATATAAATGAAAGCTCTACTCACTCGTGGTCCAACTTCACCAGGGGGACCGGGATCACCAGGGAAACCAACAGGACCCTTGAAAACACAAAAATCAGCTGCTGAAGAGTCACACATAGACCTGTTTCTCATTTCAAAGCTTAGTCACGTTTAGCACATACAGGGTTTCCTTTGGGTCCGTCATCTCCATGGGGTCCTTTTCCACCAGCAGGACCAGAGGTGCCCGGCTGCCCAGCCTCTCCCTTCTCACCACGCTCTCCTCTCGGGCCCTGCCATCAGATAAGCAAACCAATAAGGTGTTAGCTATTTTACATCTATTAAATAAATAAATATAAATGTAAGCATTTTGCACAGGTTCAGAGGACAATAAAAATTTTTTGACTAAAATTCTCACCATTTTTCCTGGCTCTCCACCAAGACCAGGTGGTCCGGATTCACCAGGCTCACCCTGTCAATACAAATAAAACGACGTCAAGTGCCATCAATCAGATTTGCTGATCTTGTCAATAAAAGTCATTATTCATGCAGAAAGTTTAACTCTTTTATCCTTGCCTTCTCTCCTATGGGACCTGGATTACCCAAACCTCCTGGAGGACCTTGAGGACCCTGAAAAATAAAGGATGTGCATTAAATTAGACAAAAAATGCCTAATTTACTGACCACAGAATGCCATGATTGACCAATCTGAATAAAGTATTCCAGAGAGTCATTGTTTAGTGATCATAAAACATATAATAATGAACTGTCATCATTTGTAAAATTATTATTCATAGTGCAAATTATGGTACTTACATCAGCACCATTAGGACCAGCTGGACCACGTGGACCTGGGGGACCAGGAGGACCCTATAGAAATACATAACCAGAAAACATTCGGATATACAGGCATCATATATTCATTCTACGGGTGATTAAAAATGCTAAAACATCATATGTTGCATTATACACATCAAGTGCACCTTTAACTGCCTTTAAATCAAAATATTCAGACTCACCATTGGACCAACATCTCCCATCTCTCCTTTTTCTCCAGCTGGGCCTGGCAAACCCTAAAGATGTGAATGAAGTACAAATAGCTAAAACATCCAGTCTGCAGAATTTAATTGGTAGGAGTGAATAAAACACAATCTGGATGCAGTACCTGCAGTCCGATGGGGCCTGGAGGACCTGGGAACCCTCTTGTCCCATCATCTCCCTTAGCGCCAAATGGTCCCTGTTGACCCCTCGCACCTGTCTCACCATCAGCACCCTGAGAAGAGATTCACACAAGCCAATATAACCTTTTGACTAACTGTGAATAGTTGCATGAATTTGTGATCCCATTAGTTTGCATTAAACCACACTTACAGCTGCACCAGGCTGTCCAACAGGACCCATTGGCCCAAGTGGACCAGGAGGACCCTGTAAATATGCAAATAATTGATTATATATAGATATTATGTCCACCAAAACAAAATATAATAATGCAAGAATTTCACATTTTAAGACCAACTGAAATGGCTTTATACACTTTTATTAGTTGACGCATTCTGTTGAAACAGGAAGCTCATATTTGTTTCTTGAACATTATGATTTCACAAGCTGAACGCTCATTTACTCACATGTTCTCCCTTGGATCCTTTAGCTCCCTTTTGTCCTGGCTCTCCAACCTCACCCTATAGAAATAACAATTCAAATTTACATTTATCAAGATCATCCACATAACTGCGATGATTTGAGACTGAGATATGAAGAGGTCGCTGACCTTGTCTCCATCCTCTCCAGCAGTACCTGGAGGTCCAGCAGGGCCTGGGAGACCAACTGGGCCTTGGATGCCGTCGCGACCAGCTGGACCAATCGGACCTTTCTCTCCCTGTAAAACAGGGTTATCTTGTTTGACAGGCCTATATATAAATCCATATTAGAGATAAGGTGCAAACCTAGAGTAGACACTTACTGGCACTCCCTTCTCTCCCGCAGCTCCAGGGGGCCCCTGAGGTCCAGGTCGTCCAGGTGGGCCGACAGTACCTGCGGTGCCAGCTGCTCCTCTCTCCCCAGGTGATCCCTGCATAGAAATTCAGTTAGGGTAACATACTGAAAGACCATCATTTAATTTCTTAATTCCTCAAAAATAAGATCATAAACCTCTGGGAATTATTATTTATCATTATTATTTCATCCTAAAATTAAAAAAAAATCATCATTTTAATAACAACTAAGCACATAATTTATTCTCTCTAGCACACTGTAATGTGAAAATAGAGTTATCATTATGAAAAATATATTTTGTAAAAAAAAAAATTTATTTAAATCATATACACATTGCAATTGCAAACAAGTACAGTATACATTACAGTATTGTATTTATTATACTACCTTTAATTTATGCTAATTTAAAATAAAACAATTAAATGATTAATATATAGAGATAAAGATTGTCATTAAAAAGGCTTTATTTTATGCAGAATATAATTTCTTATATTTCCTTTTGATTTTGGTGTGAAATATGAGCGATATCAATATGAATTCATAAGTTAGTGGGGTACTAATCACTAATTAATGTCTATATACTCTTAAAAATAAAGAATGTTTTTGCAGTGATGCCATAGAAAAACTATTCTGAGTTCCCCAAAGAACCTTTCAGTTCTTAAGAGAGCCATTTTTTCTTATAGTGTGAAGAACATTTTATAATCTAGAGAACCTTTTTGCAGTATAAAAAACCTTTTGTGCAATGAAAATGATTTATGGATGTTAAAGGTTCTTCATGGAACCATAAATAACAATAAAGAACCTTTATTTTTAAGGGTGTATCTACTTGACATTTCAGATTCTGGTTATTATGAGCAACATACAGCAGGCCCGGGTGGTCCAGCAGGGCCTTCATTTCCTTTCAGTCCTCCAGTGCCCTATGAAAACACAAAGGTACAGCTCAGTTAGGTATAAAAACATTTATGTGCAGTTTTAAAGTCGGTTGACAAAATACATTTAGAAAAGGTTTTATACAATATAAAATTCACTAGAATGGGTGAGACTTATTACTGGAGTTCCTGGCAGTCCTCTCTCTCCTGGGAATCCTCTCAGTCCAGGGGGTCCGTCTTTACCGGGGCCGCCGGAGGGACCGGGATCTCCTTTGGTTCCCTCTTTACCAGAAGGCCCAGAAAGACCTTGCTCACCGGGTGGTCCTGGGGGTCCTGAGTGACCACGCTCACCCATCGGTCCAGTCTCACCAGAGGGACCCTAAACAAGAACTAGACTTGAGTAAAGCTTGTACAGTTCCATACGTTTTTTGAACTGATTTGAAAGATTTATTGATTTTTGAGGAATTTTATTAACAATTTCTCGAGAAAGAAACCCATTTTGCTTGATAAAAGCACAAAACTCACCTGTGGTCCAACAACTCCCGGTGGCCCAGGTGGTCCAGTTTTGCCTTGGAAACCCTAAGAATGCAATGTGAAAAATATATGTTGCTGTTTAACTTTGATCACAGTGAATTTTGTACTTTAGATGATAAAAATGAAAGATACGTACAGCTTCGCCTCTCTGTCCAGGGTGTCCAGGCAGTCCATCTTTCCCTGGAGGTCCCTTCAAAAATCAATCAACATATCAATAAGCAATAGAGTAAAACCAAAGTTTTTAAGCATCAGATCAAACTAATAAACTGTTCCTTACAGGAGGTCCCTTCGGCCCAGGAAATCCATTTGGACCTTGAAGTCCAGTTAGTCCCTGAAAATATGCAGAAACATTATAAATAAATTAAAGCTGAAGCAAAAACCTAGACTGAAAGGTTTTAAATAAATAAAAAGTTCTGAAATAAACATACTCTCTCCCCAGGTGGTCCAGAAGGCCCGTCACTGCCAGATCCACCCTAAAACATCAGAACGTAGAAATTGATTGATTGAAATTAATTGATCTTTATTGTCATTGTTGAAAAACTACAAAAATGATTTGAGCAGCTCCTCAAACTATGTCCACTATGGCAACAATGAAAACTAAAAATAGCAATAAAACCGAAAATAATTTTAAATTAATCTCATACCTTAGCACCTGATTTTCCAGTTGCCCCACGGGGTCCTCTCTGCCCTCTGGGACCCTAAAAATATATTTTTATTAAAAAGAAGAAGTCTTAGAAAATCATTGCGCATTGCTTTACAAGTCAACTGATTTGAAATCTGTCATCTGCTTGAATCAAAACTCGCAACTTTAATCTACAAAACAAATCAGACCATTTCAAATCAAATGAAAGCAAAAAGTGTTTGTTTAAAAAAGTGATGAATTAAAACAGGCCCTTACTGTCGGCCCTCTCTGTCCTCTTGGTCCAGTTTTTCCAATCAAACCCTGGAAAGAGAAAAATCAATTCAGAATATTTCAGCATCATCAATTCTTTTCCAAAATAAAGGAAGATTTTCTTTGAATGAATTTTCAATGTGAATGAAGGACTTTACTCAACTTTGACCTTTAATGCAGACCTTGCATTGACATCCCTGTGACCTATATATGCTTCTACTGTAACTGTTGAATTTTAGTCTAATTTAGTCAAAAAATTCTTACCCTCGCGCCTTTCTCGCCATTTGCACCAGGGAATCCTGGGAAACCCAGGGAGCCCTAAAAATACAAGAATTACATTGATTTAAAAATGCATTCAATTTGATTAAACACCTGGCTATATACCTTATGATGCATCATAAACAATATAATTTTTTTGTTTACCTTAATTCCTTGCCTTCCAGGATATCCAGGAAGTCCAGGCACACCAAGTTTACCCTGGATTGGCATAATTTTGTACGATTTAATACATCTTTAGACCAGCAACTAAAATATATTAACTGTTATTAAATAACAAACATAACATTTATATTCATTACGGCTTACTGTCAATATTAACGGCAATGTAAAACGTAGCTTATATATATAATGGAACAAATTAGAAATCATGACTCATTTTGCATAATCAAACTAACCTTCTCTCCCACCAGGCCAATAGGACCGATTTCACCAAGGGGACCGACACGACCCTTCGGCCCCTCAGGACCGTCCTCTCCTCTTGGGCCAGGCATTCCCACCTCTCCCTGATGGTGTACAACAAATCTCAATGGGCAGTTGAAATGGGTCAGTAAAGTCAAGTGCTTCATTACCATATACTATCATTTTACATTTGTGCTAAATCACGTTAATGGATGAGCTTCTATCCACTGATGATTTGTAATATGTAAGACATACCCTCTCTCCCTTCACACCAAAGTCTCCTTTGATTCCAAGGAATCCGTCCTCTCCCTGAAAGTAAAGTAAAAAAAAAAAAAACATTTAGCACTGATTGTTACATATAAAACTGTAGCACAAAATGGTTTCGGTTTATGTTGATGTTTTGGACCAAAAACACTCACCTTCTCTCCCTTATGGCCCTTCAGTCCACGGATACCTTGAGCTCCCTGTCATAAAACATTTAGTCTGTTATCTTAATCTGAGTCTTACACGTGAAAGCAGATATCAGCTATCAACAGCCATTACCAATACACAAAAATCTCCATAGACAGAACTGCATATTAAAATGACACAGACAGGGCCTCATGGGACTTAATGTCCTTTCTACACCCAGAAAAAATTCAACACACCATTAGAGACTCTGTTAACTCATTTTACAACATGTGGAACCCTGTCCTTTCTTTTGTTGAAACTGCATCCTCATTAGAGATTTTTATTTTTATTTTTTTAGTTCCTGTGGGTTAATTTGGGATAGGTAGGGTAAAGAGTGTTGTTCTGGTTTCTTGTAGAATTTTATTTATTTTTCACTATACCCGTTAAAAAAAGAAAATTACAGGTTGTGTTGTTTATATTGCATGGCATGCATATATTGTCATTTTACAATCTGTTTAATAAAAATATTGCAAAAAAGAAAAAAAAATTTGACACAGGGTGATTAAAGGATTTTTTAAAGATTGACCTCCATAATACTTGCAATGATCAAAACAAAAGCTATCTGCATCCAAACTAATTAAAGAAGATATATATTTTACCTTAATTCCCCGAGGGCCAGGATAGCCAATAGACCCCTGAGGACCATTAGGACCCTAAATATGAACAAGAAAAATAAATGTCAACATATGAACACGCTGGGACTTATGAACATGTCTGCCCTGAAAATGTCTGTCTATATATCTAACAAAGATATGTATACATATATATTTGTTCTGTAGCTGATTACAAAAGTGCACAAATGCAGAAAGCATACAAATAGTTTTGACACAAATGACATTTAATTTATGAAGTTATAAAGAGAATTCTACTTAGCATTATCATATGGCCTCACCTGATTTCCTTTGGTTCCAGCGGGGCCTTCCTTTCCGGGATGACCCTGTTAAGACACGAACAGCATATTCTTTATTCTTTACCACAGGTAAATAACCACATACATGTCTTCTGTAACCATTTTGTTTTGCCTTATTAAATAAACTGAAAATTGGTCTAAAATGATTAATTCACATAAACTAAAAGATGTTAAAACACCGAACCAACAGGCTTATTTTGAATGTGAAATAAACCCATCTAGCACTCACTGGAGGACCGTCACCTCCGGGCATTCCTGGTAGACCAGGCTTTCCTGTGGGCCCCTTTAAGAAGACATACAAAATGTCATTATAATTGCATACTTGAATACTCGATCTCAGAATAAGACTGGACATGTATGCAGACTTCAAAGTGGTAGTTCTCTAAAGCACTTTCATTGATAATTGATAATTATAGCTTTGTGTTCCACAATTATAAAAACACTCACTTTCTCTCCTGATGGTCCAATAGCACCCTGTGGACCTGCCATTCCCTATGACACAGAAAACAATAATATTTAATATACTTCACTATGATTTTGTACATTTGTCATTCATTTGTAATAGACTCATTGTTCACCTGTGTTCCTGGAGCCCCCTGCTGTCCTGGAGGACCAGGCTCTCCTTGAGGCCCCTTAAAAAAGACAAGGAGAATTAGGACATATACTGTCATATACTGTTTATTTTTTTTTCTGTTACATTTTCTGATTGCTGTTGTTATGAATATTTAACCTGTTACACACATATGCCAATTATTGCATATTTTTACACTGTTCAAGAGCGTGCACAGAGTAGTCAGAGTGCATTAGGGTAATGTTAAAGAACTCAAAGAATTTGAAGTCAATGAATGTCAAAGAATTTACTGACCAAGCTTCCTTTTGGACCATGTGGACCATCATTTCCACGAACACCCTGGCAGAGGCAGATAATATGGAGAAATTAAAGAAAGATCTGGACATCCCTATACACATATTTCTTTTTCAAATCTTCCATTTTTATGGAAGTTGCTGTGCAGCCATTGCCATTTTAAAAATGTACATTTTATTATGCAGTATTTGTGGTTGAGCTTTCAATGAATACTCACAGGAGGTCCAGGAAGACCAGAAGGCCCTTTAGGCCCCAGCAACCCACGGGGCCCCTATTGAACAAGAAAGAGGTTCATCAAAGAACATACAAAGAAGTCAAATAAGTAGCCTTACAGTTTTTAAATTGGACTACAAAAGCAATTTATACAGGTCTGTACTATCATATACACTGTCATATGTGTGAGAAACAGAAAACCAAGTTGCTGTGCAGCCATTGCCATTTTAAAAATGTACATTTTATTATGCAGTATTTGTGGTTGAGCTTTCAATGAATACTCACAGGAGGTCCAGGAAGACCAGAAGGCCCTTTAGGCCCCAGCAACCCACGGGGCCCCTATAGAACAAGAAAGAGGTTCATCAAAGAACATACAAAGAAGTCAAATAAGTAGCCTTACAGTTTTTAAATGGGGACTACAAAAGCAATTTATACAGGTCAGTACTATCATATACACTGTCATATGTGTGAGAAACAGAAAACCCACCGGTTCGCCGGGAAGACCTCTAGGTCCAACGTCTCCATCGTCTCCCTGACAATTATCAAGGTGGAAGAGGACAATTAGCAAAAGTTAACTTTTTTAGCTTTATAAAGACGATGATAGATAATCAAGGAAAAAATGATCAACAAAGATCACAAGGATGTTCAGGCAACGTAGATCATATTAACTATTGTTAATTTACTGTAACAGTACAAAATCCTTGAGAAGTACCCTTTCTCCGTCCTCTCCTGGGGGTCCTGTGGGTCCCATTCCTCCAGTTTGACCCTTAAAAAATTAAATAAATAAATAAATGAAACATTTTAATATTATTATGTAACTTATGTTAGCAATGTTCCAAAATCCAGCGAAACCCCTGCTGTCTACTGTGTACACATTGGAAGCTGCATTCGATTTTGGCCAAAAAAGGTATCTGTAATTACACTGCCTTAAAAAGGTCACTATGTTTTGGAAACAGGGCTTATGAAACATTAACAACGATGTTAAAAAGTGTGAGCACTTACACGATAACCCTTGTCACCAGGCAAACCAGGAAGGCCATCAAAGCCACGGTCGCCCTAATACAGAAAAACATACACATACATGACTTTACAAACCACAGACGCTGCTCAAAAGACTCAAGGTCAAAGTGATTTCTATAAAGAAGTTTCAGAGCTGGAATAACACAAATGAATCACACACAGAAGACAATTTTAACCAAAAAGGGTTAAGATGTCCGACCTTAATTCCAGACTCTCCTGGCATCCCTCTGGCTCCATCAGCACCAGCCCGACCCTGCAGGAAATATCAAATATAAGCCACTAGATTATTAGATTTCTTGAGGGCAACGCAAGTGGTGCCACCAAGATGCTAGGATGCGGTTGCTAGGGTGTTCTGGGTTATTGCTAGGCAGTTTTTTTTTTTTACTGCTTCGAAGTTACTATGATATTCTGGCCCATAAATAAGGCCTGTGTCGAAGTAAACCTGCATGTTTTGTTTTTCATTAGTCATGAACACTGTAGTGGACTCACCCTCCGACCAGATTTACCAGGAGGACCAGACAATCCATGAGGACCTCTGGGGCCCTGCAAAAACACAATAGGGATGCATGATAAATTAGAAGGCTGTCTCTTTATATCCAAGATATTTATACATTCTGAATGTCAGAGCATCTCAGAATGGCTCAATGTCCTGCTAGTGTTTCTTAAGGCATGGCTAAAAATTATAATGTAAGAAATCACAAATCAAGAACTTTACCTGAGGACCATGGTCCCCACTTTCTCCCCTTAAGCCAGGACTTCCAGGTGTTCCCTATACAGGATCACAACATCAAAATGTAAGCACTTGACAAACAACATGTAATACTGTAACAGACTGTTTTATTTATTTATCTGTGTTAAGTTCTTTTACCGTAGGTCCTGGACGGCCGGTTAAACCCATTGGCCCTGGTGGGCCTTTCATAGCCAGCTAGACAGAAGAAAATTAAGATGCATAAAGTTAGACCTCAATGTGGAAAAACTAATAAATAAATATTAAGTAATTGCTATATGACAGCTGCTACAAACCCGAGCCTGAGACAGGATGGCTTGAACTTGGTCCTCCTGTGCCGAGGCAATGGGCCCTTTTTCGCCAGCACTCTGTCCGAAACGGAACTGCAAGAACCAGAAAAGAGTTTTGCAAATTAAGGATTTGAAATGATTTATTTTAAGTAATGTGGATGTAGGAACTCGGGAGGAATAAAGTCACATATAACTTGTTTAACCATAACGGTATAATGGTGACATCTAGTGGTGAGATGACTTTAAGAAAGAAAGAAAGAAAGAAAGAAAGAAAGAAAGAAAGAAAGGAAGCATGACAGAAGTTCCAGGAGGTCCTGGGACCCCGTCCGCTCCAGGTAGACCAGCTTTACCGGAAGGACCCTACAGAAACCTGGATGAATTACATGTCTTAACAGATAAAGCAGTTGCCTTGATTATTTCCAGTTGTCATAATGGAGTACTGTTTTGATTATGAAAGTATGACTCTTACAGGTTCAAGGACAGCAGGGTCTCCCTTCTCTCCCTTCTGGGCTCGCACGAAGGCCTGAGGAAAACAGATATGTAACCCAAAACAGAGCCCAGTCAATATACAAACAGAAGACACCATCAGTCCAAGATGTTCAGGAACCCACCTACATTATAACCCCTTTTTGTGGTTTTGGACGTCCATCCATAAACCACTGAAACTAAAGATTTAGCTTGACTGACAAATTATTTTTTAAGGAAGTTAAGTAGATACTTAGCTGACCAAACAGGCTTAAAATTTCACTTATCTGCTGTTGTTAGGCCATCCATCTAAATGCAAGTGAGCGCTATACATTTTTATTCTTGTATATGCTGGTCTACAGAATGTTAATACATACTGTACAGCACTGGAGCTGACGTCAAGCAGAAACACTGTGGTACCCTTCCAAGAAGATACTGTTGTTCTATGCTGATCGAGATTAGAGCTGCTCTCAGATCAGCATAAGAGCAGAGGAGTCAACCAATACTGAACTAAGCACTCTATGCAGACTTGCAGAGGAATCTTGTGCAGGAGAAGTAGTGTTTAAGTCTTGCGATAAACAAGGTTTGCTGACATGGGAACCATTTCCTGTTGATGGCATAACTTTCTAAATCATTACTCTAAGCAAACTTGATTTAGTCTTGAGTAAACACTGAATGCAAATTAGTTGACTCTGAAGTTCTCTTCCAAAACTTAGTGAGCAGCCTTACTGCCAACTGCCTACTAATGTTGTTACTGTTAAATATATATATATATATATATATTTATTTATTTATATATATTTTTTGATACAAAGCCCTGGACATGACATACAGGGAAATATAAAAAGATATCATGGCTGCAAATTAAGAATTCGTTCCCATGATCGATAATCAGTTTGTTCCCTTGTTTCAATTAAATCATGGCCACTTTGTACCCCCATTTTAATTTGGTTAAATCGTGGCCACGAGGGACTAAATTAATAAATTGTTAGAATGAATTCTTAATTTGTGTCTACAATTTCTATTTTTTTCACATGTCATGAGTAGGGCTCATAATTTGAAATACAAATATACATACTAGATGAAAATATTAAAAAAACATTAAAATAAAAAGTAAAAGTAAATTAGAAAATTAGAAATGTTTCCTTCAAGTACTAAAAGGACTAAAACTAAAAATAAATTAAATTATATAAATACAAGTTATAAAGAAAATGTATTATAAATAAAAATAAATTAAAGCTAAATAAAACTATAGAATAATATAAAATAATATAATTACTAAAACTTAAACTAAAATTCAATTGAAAACTGAAAATAAAAAAATAAAAGCCTGTTCAAAATATTATAATACTATGACTCCAACAAGAGTTTGGCTTTAATCATGTTGCTAAGCAAACAATGTGATACTTTAATAATTATACCAATTCATAACTCATACAAATAGTCAGTAATTATTAGATTATTCATATATATACTTAATAATTATAAATTAATTAAGAATGAACAACTTTATCAATATTGTCCAGTATTTCATTAAATATATTTATAATCAATACCTCTTTTTTGCCATCTTAGATGAATTCTAGATTTGCCTTTAAAGAAAAGGACACATGGGCTTGCTGTCTTCAAACAAGGTATTTGCATTGTCATCACATTCTACCTTACATTTCTGTCTAGGCAATTAACTAGGTTTTGGAACAGAGCTCAAGTCTTGGACCAGTATTAGACCAGCACCAGCGCTTAGCTGATCTTAACAACTCCTTGCTTGATTCCTCTGCAAGATTTAAAGCCACTGCAAATTCAATTTAAGCTTTTCTCAAAGCTTTAAAGTGAATTTGCTGGAAAGCACAAGGTAACTTACACCTCCCTCATCTGTCACAGCGGACAGGGCAGGGCCAAAGGTGTCTTCCGTCTTGCTTTCGATGATGGGCTCATTGTAGTCCCTGTAGGAATAGTCATACTCCTTTGTTCCAAAGTCGCTTGTAATGTACTCCTCAGTGAAGGGCTCGTCTGGCATTTGAGACACCCCTTCACCACCTGTCTTGGTCGCATCTACTTCCTCAGCGCCAACAGTCTCGTCAACCTGGGCCGTACCATTGGGAGCAGAGGTAGGGGTGGAGTGGATGGTTTGGAGGATGGAAGATTATATGGTGTGATGGGGGCAGAAATGAACAGAAAATAGGAAAATAGAGGGGAAAGTGGAAATTAGAAGGCAAAGAGAATAATCAGAATAATAGATCTTACCTGTTGTAAAACAGATATGAGAGAGGGGCAATCATCCACACACAGGCACAGGTTTAGACACATACACACAGTACACAGTCTTCTTCATGTCTAATTTTACCCAATAGTCTTATTTACCACTTTATTGTTCAGTCTGAAGGCCTGTTCACAGTTCACACCAAGAACAATAACTATAAAGATAACTGTAACATTAATCATATTAGCATCCACACCAATGGACGATAATGTTCTGTTTATTATAATCGCATGCAGCTACTTTAAATGCTCAAGCTTTTTAAAGCAGGATGCTCTTTATCATTCATCATTTGAAAAAAAAAAAAAAAAGTTCTAAAAGTGATTCCAATGATGTCATTCCTATGTGTAGTTACTATTATATTTGTGTTGTAAACATAGAATAAAAAGGATTATTAAAAATGTATAGTTACAGTTATCATCCTTGATGTGAACGGTCCTTAAGAGAAGAGAGCAGTTGTCCATTTCTTCTCCGTCATCAAGGCATTGACTAAGCAAAATGTGTGACCATAATTATGAGCGTTGTGCCTCAAGATAAAACTGAAATCCTTTTTCTGGTGCATTTTCCAAATATTGTTAATAAATCAATTAATTAATTTCAAAATGAGACCACAGAATCACTCAGGTCTATGGCAACACACTTACTTTGAGGCAAAAACTAAAGCACTACTTCCTATAGTCTCTTACCATTGTATTGTTGACTCTTTCATTTAAAGGGGTCATATGATGCGATTTCAATTTTTCCTTTCTCTTTGGAGTGTTACAAGCTCTTGGTGCATAAAGAAGATCTGAAAAAAGTTGCAAAGACTAAAGTCTCAAATCCAAAGAGATATTCTTTATACAAGTTAACAGTTAACCACGCCTACCTAAAACGGCTCATTCTAACACGCCCCCACATGTCTACATCACAATGTGGGAAGATTTGCATAACGCCGCCCAAATGTTCA